GGTGCCACAAATGTCTCAAGTTGGCAAATGCCAATCGAGCCTTTTGTATGCGCGCCGACACTTCATCTGTGATGCGTCCGCCGGGTGAGATATAGCTGCCTAGATAGCAAAATTTGTCTACTTCCTCTACTACTTCCTCAGTTAGGGTGAGACTGGGCGCTGGATCAACCCAATCTTGAAGTAGCATTTTACTGCTACCTCGGCGGGAGGTAGCAGTGCTGTGTTTGTCAGTTATTGCTGCATAGTCTTGCCTCTATTTGGAACTTACTGTTGCTAAGGCGGAGCTTACAGAATTCATCACGCCACAAGCACGCTCGTGACGCGTAGGACAAGTCGAGCCCGGATCGGATGAATGTGGAACCAATCAGACAGCGGTTGTTCTATCCACCAACTGTAGTGTCAAGGCAGCAACACGGTGGCTACATTGCTATGCCGTTCTCATATGCTAAATTTACTTTTTAGATTTGCGTATCGTACCTTGGTCATACACTCGGATTGTTTGTCTTCATTCCTGTTCTCTCTTTTCCGCGTTGTTGCCGGATATTGAGCAAGAGGTGCCCGCGTAGAACGTACGTCTAGGCCGAACACAACAACTATCACTCTCTTCTTTTCTGGTTATTGATTTCGACTGAAAATCCGCTTGAAACTTCAAGCTCCCCTTCAAACGTCAGCTCATCAAGTCAACCGTGCACTTGGGAAGCATCAAACCCTCGCCAGAGCTCATCAGTGGGGTAGACCAGAACCATCGAGTTATGCGGAGATTAGAGCTAATCAGTAAGTTGGTTACTGATCCGACAACCGCAGAGACAACAGATGTTCTGTTTGATTGCAGTTGTGAGTACGTTCTTAACGTTTTATCAGTGTCTTCCAACCGTGTTGTAAAAGGCGTAATTGGTAATTCTAAAGGAATTCACTGTTTTGATGACAGCTTCTGTGGGATTCAGATAAATTGAAACATTAGACCAAAAAGTGAGTAAACTATTTGAGAGAACGGAAAATACGCGTTTGCTATTTCCGCACCACCGTTTAAAGGACAAGGTCATCGAAATTCCTGTGCTCGAATCAAATCCCCTTTCATCAGCCGCAGCTAATTCCAAGAAAATGACTTCATAGTTATTACACATCAAAGCAAAGCAAATGAAATAAAGCACTGATTTAGAACGCATGGTTNGCATGGTTGCAAGCTTGAATAACAACACATCAGAGAGGAAAATACCATTTACCTCTCCCATACCCCTCCCTCACCCTAGAGAAAATAATGAAATGAAACCAACAGTCTGTTGGAATGGCCCATCGTGAGATTCATTCATCTTGGTTTCCATATATTTGGTACGTTCAGGACTCGGCGTTGTATATTTAGCAACACATATTTTCCCAATTGCTAACGTAAACTTACGATCACATTTTCGTGCAGTTTCGCCGCCGCTTGACGCATGGCAACCAGTCGAAGCACAGCGATTCGCCACAACGGCCAATCGGCATCGTACTGCAGTCGGAGTTCCTCTTCCCTAAGCAGTTCCGGACTGTCATTCTCAAACTGATCAGTCGAGCAGTCCGAAGAAGATTGTTGAACGTGAACGGTTGTCAGCCCGCGAAGCAGATGCATCGAGTAGGCTCGAACATAGATCAAATTGGAATGAGCTTCAGAGGCCAGCATCGGAAGGTTAGTGTGCACTCGAGACATGGAGGTGGAGAATAAGGAGCGCAAATGTGGGCGAATCTCGCCAGCAGCGTACTTCCACCACTTTTGTGGGCTACAGTAGGAAGCGTGAGAAAGTAGGCACGTTTACATGTGTAAGAAAGTGAACGAAAACAATCAATCCACGATTAGATGAAAACCAACAGAATAAATACATATTTTCTTCAATGTGGTAAAAGTCGATTTCTGCGCCATTTTGATGATTGGAGTGGACGAACCAGTCGCAATTCTGAATTCAGCTTCACCTTCACTTTAATCCGGAAATCAAAATTATAGTGGCTGCCGATGATTCAAACCATGGTGTCGGTTCCGTCATCTCGTATGTGTTCCAAGATGGACGAGAAAAAGTCATTGCGCACGCTGCACGATCCCTGACATCAACCGAACGTAACTACAGCTAAATTGAAAAAGAGGCCCTTGATATAATCTTTGCCGTAAAAAAGTCCCACAAGATGCTATATGGTCGCCACTTCACACTCTTGACCGATCACAAACACTTGGTCGCGATCTTCGGTTCGAAAAAAAGCGTTCCAGTTTACTCAGCTAACCGACTGCAGCGCTGGGCTACTATGTTGCTGGGATACGACTTCGAAATACGGTTCCGATCCACGACAAAAATCGGTCAGGCAAATGCTCTTGCGCCTCATTGACCCCCGAAGTCAGCAGACTGAAGACACGGTCATCATGTTTGTGTCGGTGGAATCAGATATGCAAACCCAAATCATAGACACAATGCAAGCGTTACCTGTCACTTTTACTGAAGTACAACGGGCAACCAGACAGGATCCTATTTTGCAACAAGCTGCTCACTATCATCGCACATATTGGCCAACGCACATGTCCGGAACCCTACAAAAGTTTTACTGCCGTCGAGAATCTATATCAATGGTGGACGACTGACTTCTGTTCTCCGAACGCATCGTCATTCCACAGGCACTGCAACGCAGAGTTCCACGACAATTTCACGCTGGCCACCCAGGGATCAACCGCATGAAGACCATCGCCCGAAGCGTCACTACGCCGTTCTCGTATGCGTGACTTGTTCTATATATTTGCGTAACGAAATCTAATGAAACAAATACACACTGACTGTTGTCTCAAGCTGTGTTCTTTCTCCGCGTTATCGTGCGGGGTTAAGCAAGAGTCGCTCGTGTCATTCATACGTCTAGTCTAAACACAACAGGAACAGTCAACATCTCGCGGCTAACCGTGAATAAGGTGGGCTTAGGCCTCCGAATAAGCGGCCGCGGGGGATCAGTGGTAGCGCTCGAGGTGGTGTTTACCTCCTGACAAGGGGTTTCTGCATAAAACAACACACATATCTG